TACAGGGCCTTGAATTCCGTGTTAAATATTTGGAAACTAGATGGCGGCCGTGATGATTAACTGTGTCAATTTGAATAAGAAACGCCCAACTAAACTGGATCAGCACAGGCCTGGGTGTGGCCCAGGGGGTTACTGAAGACAGAAGACCCGCCCTGGGGAGGCTCGTCACCTGAACAGTACAAAGGGGAAGCCAAGCAGGAAGGTGCTTCCGTTTCTCCGGAAGAGCTCCAGTCTTCACTTTCACCTTGGGCGTCATCTCTCGGCTTCCCTCACAGACTGTTCAGCCTACAGCACAGACCTTTCAGCCTTCCGGTGAAGACCCTTTGGTCTCGTCATCTGGGAGCATTCAGGGCACTACACTGAGCTCCGGGACTTACACTGGATCCCTGGGGTCTCCAGCATGCAGACAGACCTGCACTCTTCCGCGTCGGGCTCTGTGGGTGGCCACTCTAAGCCAATCTTGTAAATTCTCATCTATTTGTACATCTTGCTTTAAATCTGTTTCTCTCGTAAGTGCTGACTGATACACAGGCAACAGGGATTCTTGTTTTAGTTTGAAGCGTCTGTGTTCACACAGGGAGCTGCTATTGTGGTTTGCCTTTCTTGAAGAGCACGACTTATATGTATTAATGTTTGATGAACCGAATTCCAAACTATATTACTAAAGCTTGAGATCAGAAAAACGTATCTGTCAGGCCCTCAAAGCAGAGTATGGTATTGACTTTATTGAGAGCTTTGCTTTCAAAGCCATAGAAAGGAGAGAGGAATTAGATGAAAAGGTATAAGGATGCATCAGATCACAATTCCCCAAGGCACTATTTTCCCTTGGGCTTCAATAAAGTACTCCTTCCAGTTATCTTGGGGTAAGGTTATTCTAACACAAGCAAAGTTTAACACCAATGGTACTCAAGGAATGTCCAGTGTCTTCCTCTTCCATACGGAGCACAGCAATTACACTGAAGACCGCAGTAAGGTTTATTTTGTCTGGTGTTTTTATAGAAATGAATTCTGTCAGATAAATTAACTTTCCAAGTACTTGAAAGCTAAGTTTCCTCCCGTTATTTTACCACTAGCCAATTACAAACTAGTGCTATTGTTTCCAAGATGATCATAAACAAATCTGAACACACGATCACTACATTGTATATTCACAATCACCAGAACGTGATATCCTGAATAATCCAGAAAAGCCTTATTTAAATTTTCCTCCATTGCTGCCATAACAAACATAAACATTTTTTTTTACAGATTTGGTATCAATCTTCACTCTCCCGTTTGAGAAATTCAAGTACAAGCAGCCAATGTTTTGAGGCATGGGGTCTATTAAGTAATCATTGGTCTTTCATAAATTTCTGCCTTATGAACACACACTCAAGACATTATTCAACATGTGCTGTACATTAAATACCTCTACTACACAGACTCGTTCCCTCGTGGATTTGTGCTGGGGGGCGGGCAGTTTAAACAAAAAGCAAGAATTTGTAGTTCTCAAATTGCATGTAAATCAAATAAGCAAAAAATCAGAACGCTATTTCTTGAAGATAAAATAGACCATTGGTTTACAAGGTACTCACATTCTTGGACAACTAGGTGTATTTTATCATCCTGCAAAAGAAAAAAATGATGTGTTTATATGGAAACTGGAGTTCACATTTAGGGTCGCACAATGACCAGAGGGATTTTCACCACGTGGCTTTATGGTGGGATGCTGGGAAGCAGTGTTGTGATGTGCGATGATGTACGCTGTGCGAGGCAGGGTTACCAGCATCTCCCTACCCGCTAGCAGCACCTCCAAATGTCAAGAAAGTACAAACATTCCCAAGTTCCCCATCTGCTCCCCTGGGCACCACAGTCAATACCAGCCACAGCGCCTCTCCTGAGGGCCTTATTTGCTTCTTAGAGCATGTCCCAGCATACCTGAGCACCCCAGCTGTGGGCTTTAGCAAGAGGGCACAGGGAGTATGTTCAGACAAATTGTGGGGCCTCCTGCTGGCTTCAGATCAGGCAAGGTGCTGAGCCTGTGTCTCTCCTCCTGGCAAGGACAGGAGTGTTTGCATCATGAGGTCAACATAGGATACGAGGCAATTGTTCCCAGCAAACATACCTGCTCAGGGCCCCACTGCCCCAGGTGGAGGAGGCAACAGCCATGACTTTCAGCTGCATTGCTGTGAACATGGGTCACAGTCCTCACCCTGGGAAGCTTTTTTTTTTTTTTTT